TCCTGTCTCATAGATAATATATAATATAGTTATAATAAAAGTGTATGTAACAAAAATGGCTGTTTCTTGTGCAATCAACTGAATGCACAGATATAATTTATAATGATTAATTCAGCTGAATAAAATAAAAACGTTTTCTCGGAGAATCCAATCTTGTGTCAGTTGGGTTCGTGGCACGTCTTTGATCCGATCCCTCCATAAAATGCCGCCCTCGCCTTCGTCCAGCAGTCTGGGAGATCTTTCCAGCATTCCTTCCTGTTTGTCGTCATGGTGCCAGCAGGACAGCTGGGCTGTATTTAAGGTCCTCCTCTTCTGAACTCTGACCAGAACGACAAAGACACCTTCTGCTACATCACACAGCCAGAGAGGAGGGAAGAATAAACCCTGAACCAAAGGACTCAAATCGGACCCTGAAGACAACTGCACGTTTTTTAGGCTGCAAATAGTTTTGATTCCATGCAGGAAGATGGTCAGTGTGGTGGATAGAGTGGTATTTGTTTTCTTCGTCACAGCACAGGTAGGAATCACAGTGGTAATGAAATATCCCTGTAGGACTTTAGGTTTTAAAATAGAAAGTGTTTTATTATTTGATACCAGGTAGTTAAATCATTTTAAATACTTTTATATATATTTGATGTATATTTTTATATTTTTGTTTTACTCGCAATCAGTTTAAAAATGGAGATTTACTAACTTGTTAAATACATTTTTTGTTTTTTCCATAGGTTTTTACACTAGTCTGGTGCCAGGTGTGTCCACGTCGATGCCAGTGCCCTAAAGAGCCTCCCATGTGTCCCCCTGGGGTGCCTCTGGTTCTGGATGATTGCATCTGCTGCCTGGTGTGCGCCCGTCAAAAAGGGCAGGCGTGCTCTGACATGAACCCCTGTGACACACGTAAAGGGCTCCAATGTGACTACTCAGCTGACATCCACAAGAGGACTGGTATTTGTGCAGGTGAATGGGATGATCTTAGGGCTACTACAAAGATTTTTCAAAACCATAGCTTAACCCTTCATAGTTTTGTCCTCTCTTGTTGTTTTGCCTTCTTCCTCCAGCTCCCAGGGTAGCTGTGTGTGTTATAGACGGCTCTGTCTACCAGAACGGTCAGACCTTTTTCCCCAGCTGTAAGTACCAGTGCATATGCCGCGACGGGCAGGTAGCATGTGTGTCACGCTGCAACGTGGATGTTATGCTGCCTGGACCAGACTGCCCCATGCCACGCAGGATCCAGGTGCCTGGAGAGTGCTGCGAGAAGTGGGTGTGTGAGCCCCAGGCTGGGGCCAGTGCACTGGGCGGCTTTGCCATGGCAGGTGAGAAGATTGCAAGTAGGATGAAATGAGATGGGCTGTTTATACTGAGGTGTACATAAGCTGCACATTGTTTTTTGAAATTGGAGTCACTCCTCTGTGAGACACAGTGCTAAAAGGTTTTGCATATTTCTTTGACATTTTTAGAGTTAAGGTAGTAAGAACCAGGAGAAGGAGTAAAAGAAGAAATTAGAGTAAGATTTGAGGACGAGGAAGCACAGAACAAAGAGACAGTGTTGCAACATGAGTCTGGAATGTGCAACCTGAGCATGGTCTCTTAAACACGCCAAGGCACATGGTGATCACTGG